CCACCGGCCCCCCCCCCCAGCTCCAAGAAAATAAACCCCTTTACCTTCGTCGCGTTTGCGCTTGTTGCTTTCGGCGCTGGGGGATGTAATTCCCAGAATTCCACTAATGGAGTAGGAGGAGCCGGCGGAATCCGTGCTCGCTGAGGAGACCTGGGTCACGGACCCCGTGGAGGCTGCAATTACAAGCAGAGTCGTCAGCGTGCCACCGGACGGGACAGCCAAGGCACGTGCACGATGTTGGCCATCTTGGGACTGCCCTGGGAGGCGCTGCTCATGCCCAGAGCCACCAGCACTCAGCTGCCTCTGCAGTGCCCCCGTGGCAGCGGAACGGGGCGATATTGCCTCTGACTCGGGAGTTGGGCGCACAGCAAATCCGGGGTCGAACACACAGCCACCTGCGGTATGGGCTGTGCGTGTGCCCCTGCCGCGGGGCTCGCAGGCCCCTCTCTGTGACTCAGGCAATGGAGCAGGCCTGGGCCACCTCAGCCGTGGGGCATGGTCGAAGCGCAGGACCTGCCCAACGTGGGATTCTGGCAGGGGTGAGGAAGGGAGGGAGCCGGTTAGACAGAACCTGCTGGGAGAAAGGAGTCCCTGGATTAGGGCAAGGCCTTGTGGAGCAGCCAGCGGCCTGGTTCCATGCTCTCTCCCCTTCTTCTTCACAGGGAGAATCGCTGGAAGCTGGAAGGGAGCTGGGCAGCCCCTGGCAACTCTCCGACTCGCGGCCAGGAGTGAAGTGAGGCCGGCACACTGGGAGGCTGGTCCGGGCTTTCCAGAGGAGGTGGAAATACGGCCTCCTCCCTTGGTCTGGAGGCAGGGCAAAGGGAGGGCCTGGTTCTCCCTCCTCTTCCCTCTGCCCCCAACCCAACTGGGGTAACCCAGAGACAGTCAAACTGTGATGTGGCCCCCAGAATGCCCAATGAACGCCCAAGACTTTGTGGACTCTAGAGTTGGGGCCTGCTGGCCACTCTGGGAGCCCCGCCACCGCAAGGAAAGCAGCCTTGGGCCCTCCGTGCAGTGTGGGGGCCAGGGCTGCCTCATGGCTCTAGGAGGGGGGGCAGCGCAAACAGGGGCAAAGGGGCTGAAACTGGCACCACAGCTGGGGCTAGGAGCACAGTCCCGGGTGTGGGTCCTGCAGCGTGTGCGGGGCCAGGAGCAGAGCCCCTGGTGTGGGACCAGCAACCAGGACCTTGGGCGTGGGGCTAGTGGCTGGGACCCTGCACAAAATCTGGGGGTGCTTGCAGCAACCCCACACTCCTAGTTCCCTATTTGTACAGCGCCTAGTGCAACGGTCCTGACTGGGGCTCCTAGGCACCAGTCAGTAACAACTACACTGTGCGGGTACGTCTCGACTACATCCCTTTTTCGGAAACGGGATGTAAATTAGACGTATCGAAATTGCTAATGAAGCGGGGATTTAAATATCCCGCGCTTCATTAACATAAAAATGGCTGCCACTTTTTTTCTGCATGGAGCTTTGCCGGAAAAAAATAAAGCCTTTTCCAAAAGATCTCTTATCCCTTATTTTAAGAGGGATAAGGGATCTTTCAGAAAAGGCTTTATTTTCCGAAAGATCCGCGTCTAGACTGGCGCTTTTTTCCGGCAAAGCTGACTGCTGCTTTTCTCCGACACAGCTCCGTGCCAAAAAAAAGCAGCAGCCATGTTTATGCTAATGAAGCGTGGGGTATTTAAATCCCTGCTTCATTAGCAATTTCGATACGTCTAATTTACATCCTGTTTCCGAAAAAGGGATGTAGTCTAGACATACCCTGCTTGTCTCCCGGACCCCTGAGGGCCGGTGAGCAGAGCCACACCTGTCCTACTCCTTATACCTGCCCTCCCCCCCGGTTGTTGTGCTCCATCTGCCTTTCTCTTTCTCCCCTCGGCTCCCTCGCAGGCGATGCATTGAATATCCCACGCTGAGCCGCTACCAAAGACTCTCGTGTGATCTGGAGTTAACCCGAAGCCACGGCCCAAGACAGCTGCTGTATTATTAGTGAGGGACCCACAGGGCTGGGAACCTGCCCGCAGCGGCTGCCATGGGGGGAAGCCCCACACCAGGGCCTGCTATGGGAAGCCTGCGAAGCAGGTTGTCTAATGTCTGCTGATCGGCTCACAGCCGTGAAGAGGTGGACCGGCTCTGGATGGAGAGGGTCGTTGTCATGCTAATGCATAGCACTTACACAGGTCACTTTGTGCTCACAAAGCATGCTGGAGATGCAAACTGATTAGCCTTCAACACAACCCCTAGGAAGCAAGTAATTAAACAAGTTCTCCAGGAGGGAAACTGAGGCACAATGGCTAAGTGATGTGACCAAGGGCACAGGGGATTAGTGTCCAAGCCAAGAGTTCAAATCCCAGCACTGACTCCCTCTGTAACCATGGACAAAACACTTACTCTCCTTCCTTTGGTCTCCCCATTCCCCTTCGTGTGTGGTAAAAGTTAGTCAATGTACAGGACTCACTGCCCGGCTTCCGCCAGCACAAACAGGCAGCAGATCCCCGGGGTGAAAACCCAGGCAGAGCTAGAGTGAGGAGATACCAACAAGCCTGGGTCTCGGAGCCAAAGAGCACGGCACACAGAGTGGGCAGAGGATGGAGCAGAACCCCCACCAGAGCTGCCTAGGACACGGCAGACCGTGCATGGCAGGGGAGGGGAGGTACTGGCCTGGCCTATGGGATGTGTCATTAATGATGATCAATGTAAATTTAGAGCTGCCAGCCAGCGCTGCTGCTGTGCCCCTGTGGCCTCTTCCAGGTTCTCCACAGCTGACTCCCCATCAGGGAAGCAGACACGTGCTTTGGGCCAAGGCAGCAGGGTGTTGTCCCCTCTGGGGAGGCATGAGGGGCCGGGCTGCCATCCCACAGCTGCTAAGCCCAGAGTGCCAGCAGGCAGAGTCTGTGCTCCCTTTGGGCTTGGCAGCCACTGCACCTCGATCAGCCTCTGAGCTTCTCTCTGTGTATGGCAAAGCAGAGTCAGGATCTGCTCCTGTATAAACCATGGCCAGGTCCTCCGGGGCCATTGGCAGGGCTGCTATTGCCCTCGCCGGCAACACAAGCTTTCAATTACCACTCTCACGAGCTGATGAGGCTCTGAGAGCCACTTGCTTGATCAAACAAGCCCAGATGTTTGGCTGACGCAGGAGGGCGGGGTGCACATCCGCACATGCCTCCGTGCATAAAAGAAAATGTATTCTGCACATGCATGGAAAAAATAAGAGGGAGCATTGCTCCTGAGAAGTGAGCATTAGCCCCAGGTTGCACATGCGGCCCAGCTTCGGCTGCCTTTCCTCGCACTGAGCAGCACCGTGTCCTACCATAGCTATTTGCAGAATAAGGTACCAGAGCCACAAGCCAGAAGGGCTTAACGGAGGTCCTATTTTGCAGCATTGCTGGTAACAGAACCCAGCCTGAGTCCTGGTCTTGTCCTTGGGATGAAGAAACATCTTCCTTGCCTTTCAAAACTCTCCACGGAACACCCTGTTACTAAGGAAGCAACCCCAAGTCTCACCTTTGGAGGGTTAGCTCCTCAAAAAATGAGGAGTAACGTTAATTTGAACCAAGGGGTTTGGTTTGAACTAACACGTCCTGGCGTTCACTTTCACTTTCGAAACAGCTGTTGAGCGGAGTAACGCGCCAGCGAGATCTTGCTAATGAAGCCCGGGATATTTAAATCCCTGCTTCATTGACTATTTCGAATGCCTGCATTTGCATCCCTAGTTCAGACTAGGGGGCAAGTGTAGACATACCCTAAAGGACATATCTGGGTTAACTGAAGTAAATCCCTGTGTTCTGCCCAAAAGGAGGCATGAATGCTCCGGGACATGGAAATGCCAGATGAGGCCTGCTCCACCAGATTATCTGAATTAGCATTAATAAAGGAAGAATATGTGATATACATGCAGTTGCCTAAGACCATGTTTAGAGAGAGCAAAAATCTCCACAAACAAGAAAGTTGGGCTGAACTGTGTGTGTCACAATTGCTATCTCCAGCCATGCATTGCATCAGAGCCTGGCTAAGGCACGCTGTCCTGGCCTAAACCTCTGCATCTGAATGAAGAAGGAGAAGGAAAGAAAAGGAGAAGAAAGTTTGGAAAGTTTTGGTACCTCTTCACTCAAGACTGCAAGTGCACAAAGAATGGTAGCAGGGATGGTTGACAGAAGAAAAAAACACATTCAAAACTACTTACTGACTAATGATGCAGAAAATGTTATGAATAAGTATCCCTTTCTTGATTTATTACTTTAATTATCTGACATTCTATAGACCCCCATTAGTGGGGGGGTGGTTTAGATTTCAATTTTCTGTCTCACGGTGAAAGCTATTTATCATAATAATCAGTAAAATTCAAAACCTTTGAGCAGTATTTAGAAAATTCATTTACCATGTTCAGCCCTTGCAGAATGACAAAGAAGGCACATTAGGACGAGTGCTGAAGTGTTTTATGCAGAATTATCTGTCCATACGAGTGATTAAAAGTTCTTTAGATTATTTGTATTCCATTGTATTATTTTTTTAATATAAAAAAAGTTTCACTTACCTATGCTGTGACTAGAGGCTGGGACTTGCTGGTTGGGTGGTTGCTGTACTTTAGTCCGTATGATCCTGCATGGAGTTGGAAAGAAACAAAGGGCTCTTTATTATTAGGCATGCACAGTATAAAAATGGCAGGTAAATAATAACAGCGCATGGAAACACCAAAGGCTCTTTCGTCCCCTCAGGACACTTAGCCGGTAAAGAAAACACCTTTTCCTGTGTTCTTCCATTGAAATCTTATAAAAGTTACACAACTGGGCAGATCCAGGGCCAAATTTTCAAAACTGCTGAAGGCCCAGATCCTCAAAGGCATTTGGGAACCTCTCTGAAATCAATGAGAGTAAAGTACGTAAAAACACCTGAGAATCTGGGCCTAGGTGAGCGAGAAGACCATGTGCCATTGAGATTCAGGTGCCTAAGCACCTACGGTTTTCAGCTGCCTGAAAACACAAGTAAATGCCAAGCTGGATTTTCAAAAGTGTCGAGGTGCCCAACTCCTGTTGATTTCAGTGAAAATTTGGCACCAACTTATTTGAAAATCACCTATCTTTAGGTGCCTAAATACCATTAAAAATCTGGCCCAAAGTCACTGTAGAAAATGGGACTTACACTCCAAGTCTCTTAGTGCTTTAGAAATTTTCACCCCAAATAAACATAACAGTAAGCCAACAAATCTCGAACCAAATGCAAGACATTGAAACTCAAAAATTACCTTGTCATAGACCATCTTCTGCTGCCTTTTACACTGATGTAAAACTGGAGTAACTCTATGAATTTCAAAGGGGTGACTCCCAATTTACACCAGTGCTTCCATAGAGCAGCATCTGTTACAGTTGTGCATGTGGCATAGAAAGACACGGAGGCTTTTTGGAAAGGAGGAGTTGACAAGAAAGGCAATAGGAATGCATTGGCAAAAAGCAACAGTGACACTGTCGTAACAGGAGAGACGTTGGGTCTGAGTCTCCTCCCCATGACATAAATGGGGGTTTTGCCATTGGCTTCAGCGGAAGGAAAATCAGACCCAAACACTGACAGTAGAGTGGTCTTGACTCAGCTGATACATAGTTCATTGGCATGCTTCTCGTAGTGGACGTGTATGTTTTATGTACTGGTCTGACAGCATGCGGTGGGGATGATTTCTCCCGGGGCTATTTAATAAGCTCAATTCCCAGTTTAGGCCTTGCTGTACACCAGTTTTTTGCACATTGACATGTTCACCCAAGAATGCCAAAACTTCATTCATGAACCGACCATGTAAAGTGATAATGCAAGTCTGCATTTGTGCACTCAGCCAGTCCAAAAGGAAGAAGCTAATTTTTTTCCCCAGACCAGGCCTCATCATTCAGACTCTTTTATGTACAATCAGTTTTCTGTAGCAATTTTCACTAATCCCACTAGCTCTTTTTCTATTATTTTAGAACCATTCGGTAGTGACCACAATAGTAACAACACCTAACAATTTATAGGGAGTTTTTCATCGGAAGGGCTGACTGTTCTTTACAAAGCAGGTCAGTATCATGTTCCCTGTTTTACAGAAAGGGAAACTGAGGCACAGAAGGGGGCAATGACTTGCCCAAGATCTCGCAGCAGGACAGCGAGAGAGCCAGGAACAGAATCCAGCTCTGGGTCTCCTGAGACCCAGCCCTATACACTAGGCTCCTACTCACATGTCCTCCCATGTTTCTCTACTGAGCAGACATAGGCGGTGAGACGCGCTCCCTAACATGGAAACTGAGTCTCTCCCATTGCGCTGTGAAAGCTGCGGATTGGGAAGCAACCCTGGGTGCTGAGTGCTAATCACTATGCTCCCCGATGGGGAGTCCACACCGGTTTAGTGCTGCCAACATTCTTTGCCCCCAAGAACAAGACAGGATTTTTGGAGCTGGGACCCAATCCCGTATTATTAAAATCAGTGAGAGTTTTGCCACTGACCTCTGTGTGGGGCAGGACGGAGCCCCTCTAGTGAGATCCAGCCTTACAAGAGTGAAGCAGGGGAAATAACAGTTTGCACGAGGATTTTGAGTTGTCAAAATGAAAGAAAAGAATTCAGGGCCTTCTCGCATGTAAATATCTTTATTTCTGGAGGGCGAAGGGATAACAAAGCAGCTGGTGAGCTTGCAGATTACAAGAGTGGCACTAATAAGTATGATTAATTAAACTTTATTGTCATGAACTTGCTCCTGCTGAGGAGTGTCATATGATTAATAGTAATTAATATTATTAAGTATTGGTTGCATTTAATGGAGGCTCTCCCGAATCTGAATTCTAGTCTAGCTGGGTTCTTATCCTGGGCTCATCACCATAGTACCTGAGCACCCTCCACTCGTGCACGGAGCGATGTGGCAGGTGCCTGCCGTGCATTAGTGGGAGTCATGTTGTGCTAGGATGCATTCAGATGTCCTACGAGGATGGGCATGGTACAAGAACCTGGCTAGAATGCACGGTGTGCAAGCCAGCTCCTTGGTGCAACACACCATTCACTGCACGTGTAACCACCGTGATGGATGGGAGGAGTGTTCTCCTTTTCTAAACGTCCCATCTCTGCCACCGTGTCAAGGCTGCTCCCACGCTGGTACTTGGAGTGCGGAAGGTGGGCTGTTTAGAAAAGGACAGCACTCCTCCCATCCATCACGCCCACACACTTGCTGGGCGTGGCGCACTATCCCCGCTAGTGGCACAGAGGCCACGGAGACAGAGAGAATAATGACTCTAGGCCAGTGTTTCCCAATTGTATTTGGCCACAGAACCCTTTAAAAAAAAAGCTGCCAGGGGAAACCAGTCGACCAAAAAAAAAAAATTCAGAAAAGGGGGAAAAACTGTCAAGCAAAAAGAAAAATGCCGGCCCACCCCTAAGACCACAGCAGCCCCAGGTGACCACCCGGCTCGCACATCCCTAAGACCACCTCTGGGGGGGGTGATCGGGTTCTCGCAGAACCCTTCTTTTCACTTCGCAGAACCCCTGGCTTTCAGCTCCTGCGGTACAGGCCGTACCTAGCAGCCTAGCGGAGTGGGGAGATTCCCTTATTCCCCTCTGCAGCCATTGCTTGTGGCCAGGTACTTCACAAGCCAGGAGCAAGCGCTCTCAGGGTAGGTCTACACTGCAAAGTTAATTGGAAATACCAGCCGTTATCTCCAATTAACTTTAATAGCATCTATACATGCAAACCGCTATTTTGAAATTAATTTGAAATAGCAGAGCGCTTAATTCGAATTTGGTAAACCTCATTCTACAAGGAGTAACGCCAAATTCGAAATAGCTATTTTGAATTAAGTGCTGTGTAGACACTTAATTCGAAATAAGGGGCCTCCAGCC